CTGTAGCCTCTCCCTGTTTGGGGCCCCTCGGCACACCCGGATCCCCAGGATTCCTCCCGTCCTGCAGAACAGGGAATCCAGAGCCCCCGCCTCCGACCCCAGCCCCGTCCTCTCATTTTGTCTTGAAGCCAGGACTGCAGCCCCAAAATATCTCTCCCTTTCAGACCCAGGAGGCTCGGCTTGCAACCAACCACATCTGTTCTGAAAACCCGCTGGATTGCTCAGGAATCTGGGCCCCCTAAATTTCCAGGAATTTAGCTTCCGTCCATCACCCCTTAACCCCACTTGACTGTGTGTCTGGTCCTGCAGTCGTCACCCCTCGAATCCCAGTGTAATTGGAGACAGGGCCCATTTTTCTGGACGAAAAACCCTCAAACGGGAATCCAGCCCTTTGTCCTGGGGGAGGGGGAGGCTGTTAGTCCAGGATGCTAGCTCAGAACCTCTAAAATAAAGCTCAGGGCCTGGCCCCCTAAAACTTCCTTTTCAGGGAGACAAGACCCTAGCCCACAGACCTTGTTAAAAACCAGAGGTCTGGTCCCCCAATTATCCTTTATCTGGTCAGAGAGGGGTGGGGGTGGGGTCAGACAGACAAGGAGGATGGGGCAGAGGGAGGAAGAATTGAATGAGGGATAAGATTAGGTGTGGGGACTGCAGCTGGGGGGCTCCATCCTAAACAAACTGTAAACATGCGGATTTCTATAGCAACGGCCTTCTCGGGCCTACCCTGGAGATTTCTCTAGAGCTATGTCAAGGAAGGTAGCCCCCAGGAGCCCCTGCTCGTCCAGCTGTTGTGTGTTCCTGTTTTGTTTCCAAGGCAACGGTGACCTCAGTCCTCCATCCCCCCTCACTGACAGGAAGGGCGTGGCTATATTTTAGCCCCGCCCAGGGGGCGGGCCGGGGATAGCCCAGGCGTGGGGAAGTACCTTTGCGAGGCCCCAGGCTGGCCCAAGCCCCGCCCTCGGCCACGCCCACGCGCGCCAACTCCACCCAGCCCCTAGACCCTTCTGGTCTGCAGCTGTCGCCCTTGTTTCTGCAGCAGACGCCACTGGTGGAGAGGTGAGGTTGCAGGGGCCACGGAGGGAGGGGAGCAGTGGTCCAAGAGTCTTGGATCTAGAGTGAGAAGTGGACGGGAATTCAGATGTGTGGGTCCCTAGAAACACTCCAGGTGGGCCAGGACTCCTGAGCTCTAGAGAAGGCTGAGCATCTCAACTCATACAGGTCACACATGGGAAAGAGAAGAAACTAGAGAGTGGGCACGTGGGTCTGAGGGAGAAGGGCTGAGGTCTGGACCTGGGTCTGAAGGAGCAGGGCTGGGGTCTGCACCCCTGTGTCTGAGGAAGGAGGGCAGGGGCTACCTCTGGGTCTGAGGGAGGAGGGCTGGGTGTGGACTCCTGAGTCTGAGGGAGGAGGGCTGGGGTGTGGACTCCTGGATCTGAGGGAGGAGGGTTGGGACTGGACCTCTGGGTCTAAGGGAAGAGGCTTGGGGTTGAACTCCTGGGTTTGAGGGAGGAGAATTGGGGCCTGAACTCCTTTGATTCTGAAGGAGGAGGCCTAGGGTAGGGATCCCTGGATTGGGGGGGGGGCTAGAGCTGAACCTGTAGATCTGAGGGAGGAGGACTGGGGTTTGGATTCCTGGGTCTGAGGGAGCGGGCCTGGGATCCGAACTTAGATCGGTCTGAGGGCTGTATTCTGGGTTCAGTCAGAGGGAGGGGGACTAGGGCTCTGAATTTGGCCTGGGGGAGGAGAGACTGGGAGCTATTGGGTTGAGGGAGGGAGAGGTCCGAACTCTTGGGTCTGAGGACCTGGAGGAGGTGGAGTTTAAATCTGGGAGATGGGGGGGGCTACATGCTGGGTTGCACGTGGTACCCAGACATGCTCGGGGCGGGGGGGGGGCTTGGTGGGAGTATTGGGTCTGACCCTCCAGTCCAGAAACCAGACAATTGGAATCTGAGACCCTGCTTCTGGCGTCTGTGAGAGGTTAAGGCTGAGTCCTCAGCTCCTGGTGTGGGGCGTGGCCGGGGTTCGCTGCTCGCGAGACCGTGGAGTGATGGATGGCATCCAGAGTGTGTAGCTGGGGAGGGTGGCAGGGGTGCTGCGTGTGGCCGGCAGAATGGATGTCTGGGAGGAAGCCCAAGGGGCGTTTCCTCTCCCAGCTCGGGTCTGCGGCTGTGCATTCCTGAGCTCTGACCTCAGGCGGCGCTGGTGGCCCCCTGGGCGGGGACCGACCTCTTCTCTCCCAGGGTCTCCCTCTGCTTTCTGCCTGCCTTGCTAACACATCTTCCAAGTCTCCCTCTTTCCCCTTCTTGTATGTGGCGGGACAGTAGCACGCCTTCTATAACGCAGGGTGTGGGGTTCATGCTGGGACCTAGCTTAACCCGTCCCGGAAGGACTGCAGGAACTGGAGGTGTCTGCCTCCCTGGGGCACCTCTCGGGTGTAAGGAGAGGCTCTGCCCTGGCTGGGGGACCTACATTTAGGGAGGCGTGACTGCCAGACCCTAGACTGAATTCCAACTTTACTCCAGTTTCCCAGCCTGGAGTTGCCGTTGCCGTGCGGGGTGTGTGCAAACCTATTTAAGGAGTCGGGTGGGGGGGGGCGCTGTCCCTCCGTACTGCTTAGGGATTTGGCGAGTGGTTCAGGCTGGAACTGTCTGGCCTTGAACACACAGAGTCGCTTGCCTCTGCCTACCAAGTGCTGAATGAAAGGCATGACATCACACCGGGCGACCTCCCAATTTTTCTGAGACAGGATTTCTTTAAATTGACAGAGCTGGACTTAACTGTTGATCCTCCTGCCTCTACTAGGGTTCTGGGATTGTTACCTGCACATTGCCAGGCCGGACTCACTCCAATTCAGTCTTAGAAAGGCCCAGAACTTACGCTTAATTTTTTCCCCCTTACATTTATTTATTTTGTAGGGCAGTGGCGGGAGTTGTATAACAGAGCGTCTGAGGATGACTTGAGGGAGTCGGGACGGTTCTCACTGGGCTGGAGCTCACACTTTAAAAAAATATGTTTGGTTGGTTTTTTTTTTTTTTTTAAGACAGGATTTGCCTGTAGCTCTAGCTAGCCTGGAACTCACTATGTAGACCAGGCTGGACTCGATCTCACAGGATGCTGGCATTAAAGGAGTGTGCAACCATGCCCGGCTCCTAAAAGTACTTTCTCACATTTATTAATTTGTATGTGTGTGCACATGTATGTACCTATGCACCCACAGGCGTGCATGTGTTGACGCCTTTGGAGGTCAGAAGACAACTTGTAGGAGTCAGTTCTCGTCTTCCACTCTGTGGGTTTTGGGGGATCGAACTAGGATCCTCCGGCTTGGCAGCAAGCGCCTTTACCTCCTAAGCCATCTCACTGGCCCGGAACCCACACTTTTTCTTGTTTGTTTGTTCTGGTTTTTGTGTGTGTATAGAACCCACACTTCTTAAGAAACCAGAAATTGGAACTTGCTGCCGGCGCCTGGACCCTAGGATTCTCCTCCACACCTACACACACCTCTCCAGCCCGGATGTCTATCCAGAAGAGGGTTGGGAATCTCCCAGGCCCTCCCTGGGCGGGGGTCCGGGCGCCGCCTCCAGGTCCGCGCCACATTCCTGATGGCTGAGCTACTTGAAGCCCTTATAAGGCGCGGAGATGCTGGGCCAGGCTGGGCCGCCCCCGCAGCCACTGCCCTGGGAGCTCCAGCCGCCGGCTGCATGACTTCCCTAGACTGGGGCAAGGTTAAAATTACTCAGGTCCTTAGCTCCGCGCGCGGGGCGTGACCTTTGTCCAAATTTGTTTGCACCCCGCCCACACACGGGGGAGGGAGAGAAAGGAGAGGGCTGCACTTCCCTGGGGCCTCTGCCGGGGACGGGCTGCCCGGAGTGCCTACTGGGAGCTGCCTAGCGCCCTGGGGCCCCAGGGTCCCGAGGGGAGGACCGTCTGCGTGGTGCTCCTACGGCCCCTTTCCTCCCCCAGTGCCCTGACGACAACCTTTTCCAGGTGTGCGACCCTATCCGCCCTCCCTGCCGGCTCTTTCAACCTCTGGTCCTAAGACTGCAGGTGAGTGTGCTGGTGGCCTGCTTTTCTAGATGGGAGGGTGGAGCCGCTGGGATTTGGATTTGGATCTGTGGGTGGAGGGCTGGGGTGGACCCCTACGTTTAAGGGAAGAGGGTTGGGTCTTGAAGCCCTGAGTCTAAGGGAGGAGGGCCTGGGGTGCTGAATTACTGGTCTGAAGGAGGAGGGCTGGGATATGGATTCTTGTGTTTAAGGGAGGAGGGCTGGGGTACTGGGCTCCTGGGTCTAAGGGAGGAGGGTGGGGTACTGAACACATAAGTTTGAGGGAAGAGGGCCTGGGGCCTGCATCCCTGGGTCTGAGGGAGGAGGGGAACTGTGTAAGGATTCTTACACCCTGATTGAAGAGGGAGCACAAGATGACAGACCAAAGAAATGACTTCAGCCAAATCTACCTTGGTGAATCAATGAATTTATTGGGGTTACATGCAGGGGCACAGGTGACTCAAAGCAGCTGCATCACTGAAAATCCCACCCCAGCCTGCTGAATTCCTGGAGCTCCCTGAACATCAGGCAGCTGTATGAAAGACACCCCCCCCCTTCCCGGCAATGGTTTACTGCTTAGATAACCCTGGAGAGGGGGGCTTCGGCTTTGGGAGAGGGGTTGGGGAAAGAATCATGCACCTTATAACTTCCTTTAAAAATTATTTATTTTAAATTTTACTTATTTATTTTATCTTTTTGAGACAGGGTCACCCTGTAGCTCCAGCTGTCCTGGAACTCACTATGTAGACCAGGCTGGCCTTGAACTCACAGAGATATGCCTGCCTCTTCCTCCCAAGCCCTGGGATTAAAGGCGTGTGCCACCACGCCAGGCCCATATTTATTTTTATTTTATGTGTATCAGTGTATTATCTGCATGTATATAAATACCCCTGTGTCATGCATTGCCCACAGAGGTCAGAACAGGGTGTCAGATCCCCCAGAACTAAAGACAGTTGTTAGCTGCCATGTAGGTGCTGAGAACCAGACCTGAGTCCTCTGCAAGAACAGCCAGTGCTCTTAACCGTTGAGCCGTCTCTCCAGCCCCATTTTTTAAATGTGTATGTGTGTTTTACCTATATGCATGTAATGCCATGAAATGCCTGTGGAGGCCAGAAGAGGGCATCAGATCCCCTGGAACTGTAGTTACAGACGTTAGCTGCCATATGGGTGCTGAGAACCGAACCCTGGTCCTCTGCAAGAGCAGCCCAGTGCTCTTAACCACTGAACCATCTCTCCAGCCCCAAGTCTTAAAACTTTCTGGGTTTTTGAGACATGATCTCCCTAGCGCCCCCCACCCCCCAGCTGGGTAGACCAGGCTGGCCTTGTTCTCACAGAGGTCTGCCTGCCTCTGAGTGCTGGTACTAAAGGCACGGACCATCAGGCCTGGCTTAGGTCTTGTAACTTTCTGAATGAGCTTCCTGAGCCCTGTTAATTTCTGCTTTTTTTTTTTTTTTTTTTTTTTTGGTCTTTTTTTGAGACAAGGTCTCCCTGTACCCGCAACTGGCCTGGATTTGCTAATGGAGGCCAGGCTGGCCTCAAACTTACAGAGGTCTACCTGCCTCTGCCTCCTGAGTGCTGGGATTAAAGGCGTGCACCACCACACCTGGCTTCTGCTTTTCTTTTTTAAAAACATTTATCCTATGTCTGTATGCACACACTCATGCTCCACTTTGCATGTGTGGAGCTCAGAAGATAACTTGCCAAAGTCAGTTCTCCATCAGTGGGTCTCTGGGGATTGAACTCAGGTTGTCGGGCTTTGTGACAGCACCCTTACCCACTGAGCCGTCTTGTCTGCCTGTGTTTCCAAAGCTTTCTGAGTCTCTTCCATCCAGGAGGAGATATTTCAATATGTATGAATGTATATGTATTGCCTACATGTGTGTAAGTGGATCTGTGACATGCAGTACCCGAGGAGGTCAGAAGAGGGTGTTGAATCCCCTGGAACTGTTGGCCCCCATGTGGGTGTTGGGAATTGAACCTCGGTTCTCACTGCTAGAGCAGTGAGTGCTCTTAACTGTTGAGCCATCTCTCCAACCTGAGAATCAGGCATTTTGCAGCCTGAAGGATGGGCCTGGCATCAGGTCCCAGTTCTGAGTCTCTTTAGGATGAGAAGGGGGAACTTATAGAATTTGTAGATTGAAGGAGTTAGTCATCCCCCTCCTCCATCCTGAGTCAGACTCACGTGGCACACGAGAGAGGCTCGAGTCTGTCCAGAGGTCTGACCCAGCCTTATTGACCTTGAGTCCTAGAGATTCCCCTGGAATGGGCTGGGGCCCTGAGCGGTATTGGAGGGAGTTGAATTTCTCAGAACTTGAGGGACTTGTTGGCTTAGTCCCTGGGGCATGGTAGAGAGGGGGAAGGAAACTCAGCTCTCCTGATTTGTAAATCCTGCCATATGGTTGGGGGTAGGAGGATGGATGAAGCTTTTAGACCCTGTGCCAGAAGGGAGGGGAAAAGTGAGCCAGATGTTCTAGAGGGAGGTCTCTGAAAGGGATGAGGCCGGAGATCAGCAGCTCTGATTAAATGTGTTCAGCAGCTTTTAGGTAAAAGAAGGAAGCTTTTTTTTTTTTTTTTTCACAAGCTCTGAAACATGAGGAAGTTGGAATCCTAGAAGGGTAGAAGGTAGTAAGCCTGTGTCAACTTACTGAAAGAAGGAAGTATGTTTTTGCTGGGCCTGAGGTGTAAAGCCCTAGGTCACCATAGGGAGGAAGTCCGAGGCTAGCAGGATCTTAGACCACAATCTTTTTGCTTGTTTCTCTTTATTTTTTTAAAGAGAGGGTCTCACTGTGTAACCCTGGCTGGCCTCTTATCTCACAGTAATTCTGCCTCAACCTCTCAGAGGCTAGGATTACAGTCATGAGTCACCATACTCAGCTACCTGACAGTTTTTTGGGCTTTTTTTTTTTCCTTCCTGAAGGTCACATGTAGCCCATGCTGGCCTTAAACTCATTTCATAGCCAAGGATGACTTGAACTCCTGATTCTCCTGTTTCCATCTTCATGTGCTGGATCCCAGGTGTGCACTGCCTGGCTTATGCAGGGCTCGGAGTCAAATCCTGCACTTCATGCATGCTAAGCAAACACGCTCTGGAAACATGCTACCACTTGAGCTATGTACCCAGCCCAAGACTACAGTCTTTTTTTTCCCCCTAAAGAATGCCAGCACTTAATGAACTTCCCTCTGTGGCTTTAAGCCACCAGGACACAGGCACCCAAATACCCTTAACTTTCTCTCCAGCTCTTCTGCTCAGGAATTTGCCTTCATGACGCCAGGCTGCTTAGAGAGCTTTCCCTTCCCCGGAACAGTGGCCCGATTGCGCCACATCTTGTTTTGGGCAGCATTTACCCGTGTCTGTTCACTGTCCAGTGGCCACAATTTATCAAGGTTGACCGTTGTGCAGAAATTCTGGTTCCTCTTTGAGTGGTAATGCCTCATCAACCGTCCCACAGTAACCTGGATGATATAAGTTGATCCTGTGGTAATGGAGACCACCAGCAGCCCCCTGGCCTCCAGGGTGCTCCTGAGGCTTCCCCATGTTGTCATGGCCATGGCTCACATGGCCCCAGAGTTTCTGGGTCTCTCTTAGTCTGAATGGCATGGCCACAGCCAAAAGGAAAGAGAGGCCTCTGAAGTCTTAGAGGTAGTGAGTGCGGGGCGACCCTCTCGTATGCCCTCCCTTTTCGTAAGAAAACTGAATTCCTTTTGTATTTATTTTTACTTGATGTGTATGAGTGTTTTGCCTGCATGTATATAAGTGCACCACATGCCTGCAAACCCATAAAGTCTAGAAGATGGCATGGAATTCCCTGGAACTAGACTTGTTAGCTGCCATGTGGGTTTTAGGATCTGAACCCAGGTCCTCTGCAAGATTGGCCAATGCTTTTAACCTCGGAGCCATCTCTCCAGCCCCTACAGTTTTTTTTTTTTTTTTTTTTTTTTGGTCTTTTTGAGACAGGGTCTCCCTGTAGTCTCAGCTGACCTGAAGCTTGCTATGTAGACCAGGCTGGCCTTGAACTCACAGAGATCTACCTGCCTCTGCCTACAGAGTGCCGGGATTAAAGGCAAGCGCCACCATGCCCAGCTTTTTTTGTCGTTTTGAGATAGGATCTCCCTGTAGCCCCAGCTAGCCTGGAAGACCAGGCTGGCCTCTTATCTCACAGAGATCCTCCTGCCTCTGCCTCCCGAGTGCTGGGATTAAAGGCGTGCACCACCACGCCTGGCCCTTTTACATTGCTTTTATGTGCTTGTGGGGTGTGTGTGTGTATGTGTCTGGGCGTACATGTGCAGGTCAGAGGATGATTAGTTCTCTCCCTCTACCATGTGGGTCCTAGGGATCAAAGTCAGGGGCAGCAAGTGCCATTATCCACTGAGCCATCTTGCTGGCCTTCTGGTCTTCAGGTTGCTGAGTCCCTGGAGAAGGAAAGCAAGGACTGCTTTGGGTATCTGGCATGTATAGAGCTAGGATAAGTCTAGAACCTAAATGACTAGCTCATTCGTGTATGCTTAGAACTGTTCCTGTTTTAGACTGAAAGTTCCATATTTTAGGGAACACCCCCTTCAAGAGTTCAAAGTAATTTGTTACAGTAGAGGTAAGGGCTGGGTGCCTCGATGCCTCTGTCTGGGGCCTTATATAAACACTCTGCTGTTTTTTTTTCTAGCCATGCCGGTAACAGTGACCCGAACAACCATCACTACCACATCCACATCCTCCAATGTGGTAGGATCCCCTCGGGCACTGACCCAGCCCCTGGGCCTCCTCCGCCTGCTGCAGCTGTTATGCACCTGCGTGGCATTCTCGCTGGTGGCCAGTGTGGCCGCCTGGCAGGGGCCCATGGGCAACTGGTCCATGTTTACCTGGTGCTTCTGCTTCGCCGTAACCCTGGTCATCCTCATCGTGGAGCTAGCCGGGGTCCAGTCCCGGTTCCCTCTGTCCTGGCGTAACTTTCCCATCACCTACGCCTGCTACGCTGCCCTCTTCTGTCTGTCCTCCTCCATCATCTACCCAACCACCTATGTGCAGTTTATGTCTCACGGACGATCCCGGGACCACGCCATCGCCGCCACCACCTTCTCTAGCATCGCCTGTTTGGCTTATGCCACCGAAGTGGCCTGGACTCGGGCGAGGCCTGGTGAGATCACCGGCTACATGGCCACCGTCCCGGGACTGCTCAAGGTTTTTGAGACCTTCGTAGCCTGTATCATTTTTGCCTTCATCAGCAATCCAAACGTGTATCAGCGGGAGCCGGCTCTGGAGTGGTGTGTGGCTGTGTATGCCATCTGCTTCATCCTAGCCGCCGTGACCATCCTGATGAACCTGGGGGAGTGTACCAACCTGCTGCCCATCCCTTTCCCAACCTTCCTGTCAGGCCTGGCCTTCCTATCTGTCCTCTTCTATGCCAGTGCTCTTGTCCTCTGGCCCCTGTATCAGTTCAGTGAGAAGTATCACGGCCAGCCCCAGCGGTCAATGGATGTGGAATGCACTTACAAACACCCCCACAATGTGTGTGGCTGGGATCGCCGACTGGCCGTGGCCATCTTGACAGGTGTCAACCTGCTGGCCTATCTGTCAGATCTGGCACACTCTGCCCGGCTGGTGTTTGTCAAGGTCTAAGATTCACAAGGGGCTCCCGTCCCCAGCCCTCCTTCCCACATCTTCGTCTGAGTTTTTGGTACTGAGTCTTTTTCCTCCCCTTTTCCTCCTCTCTTCCTCTTTGTATCCTCTTCCTGATCTGCTGTTCTCTTTCCTCTTGCCGTTTCCTTTCCTCTTCCTGTTTTGTTTGCTTGTCCACATCCTGTTTTGCCTCTGAGCTGTGTCACGACCCAGTCTTTCCCTTTACCACTTTTTTTTTTAAATCCAACCTCACTGTTCCCAACTGCCTATTTGCTCACCACATCTTTCTAGTTCCCGGGGAGCCCTCAGAATCCTTGCTGTCTCCCAACCCCCAAAGGTGCTGGCCCCACACATCCCTCACTTCACAGTTCTTCAACGTGAGTCTCCCTAGGGGCCACATTGCCAAAGCATGCCCCCCTGCCCTGGCTGTGCCTTAGTCAGTATGTATGAGTGTGTGTGTTGAAGGGGCTTGAGGGGTGGGCAGTGTATGGTACACCTCCCTTTAAGTTTTAAAGAACAAACAACTCCAGGAGGTCAATAATTCTCAGTGGGCGGGAGGCTTTAAGCACAGACCCTGGGTCCCTGTGCCACTGCCTGGCTTATGCCCAAGATTGGCTCCAGAATTTTTGCCAGGCTTACAAAAATCTCACTGCCTAGAGGCTAGCCTAAATGAAGCAAGATATGGATGCAAAAAAGAAAAAGCCAGGCAGAAACCACATGGTCATGAAAACAACTCTGAAGTATTTCTGAGGGGCAGTGATGGTGTCCCTCCTGTCTCAGTGTTAAAAATAACATGGCCTGCTTTAATAGGTTTGAGAGAAAATGGCCTCTTGCCGGCCTTAAAGGCATTAGCATAAGTCTTTTTTTCTTCTTCCTGAGCATGAAGGTAAAAATGACTAAGAAGCCCTATTCTTTTTTTTTTTTTTCTTAAGTGGCTTTTGAGACACGCTCTCATGTAGCTCAGGTTAGCCTTGAATTTGTTATTGAGGCTGGCCTTGAATTCCTGAGCCTCCTGCCTCCACCTCCCAAATCCTGGGATTTACAAGCATTCCTGTACCACCAAATCCAGTTTGTGGTCGTGTTCAAGAGGAGAGTTTCTTAGGAATTTTTCTTTTCTGTCTTGGGTGGGTGGGGGATGGGAACTGCTGCTGTGGAATGGAATGGCTTGTGTGTCTGCTGCTCACACACACGTGTCTCCGTGCTAGTCGCTTCATGTTGTTACTTTCTGCTTCTCTGGGACTCACATGCATTACGTGATATATATAAATGTATAAATATATATTTTATTTTTTTTAATTCCCTGGAGCTTTGGGTTCCTGTAGCTCCTGCTGTCAGTCATAGAAGCCTCGTCCCTCCTCCCACACCCATAATGTTCTTTTTTTAAAATCTCAATATAAAGATAACAGGAGGATTTGTGCTTTCTTTATCACAGGGGGAGGGTTCTGGAAGAGGGGTGAGGTCTGTATTTCCTCAGTCTAATAACAGAAGGGGGCTGGGATTAAGACAACCATTGGCCTGATCAGAAAACAGATGTCTGAATTTTTTGTTTTTTTTTGAGACAGGGTCTCCCTGTAGCCACAGCTGGTCTGGAATGTGCTGTGTAGACCAGGCTGGCCTTGATCACACAGAGATCCACCTGCCTCTACCTCCTGAGTGCTGGAAATAAAGGTGTGTGCCACCACACCTGGCTTTTTTTTTTTTTGGAGACAGGATCTGTTATAGCCCGGGCTGGCTTCAAACTCACTACGTAGTTGAGGATGACCTTGAACTTCTGATCCTCCTGCCTCGACCTTCTGAATGCTGGGATCACAGGCATGCACCATTATACACCCAGTTTATGCAGTGCTGGGATTCAAACCAGGACTTGGTCCATACTAGGCAAACACTTTTCTAACTAAGCTATGTTCGCTGCCCCTTGGTCTTCTAACGTGCCCAGGGGCTAACAGGGCTCAGAGGTCAAAAACATTTGCTCTGAAATCATGAGAACCAGAGTTTGAATCTCAGCACCCATGGATCAAGCTGGGCTTCCTGGCAAAGACCTGTAACCCAAGGAGGTGGGGAGAGACAGGAGGATTGCTGGGACTTTCTGGCCTCCAGCCTACATCCAGATCTGATCTTGCCTTCCCTTGCTGAAGTCTGAGTAAAATTACAAATGCACACACAGACACACAGAGGAAACATCCTAGTTAGCCTTCTGTTGCTGTGATAAAACACTGACCAATGGGGCTGGAGAGATGGCTCAGTGGTTAAGAACACTGGTTGTTCTTGCAGAAGACCAGGTTCAAATCCCAGCATCCATATGGCAGCTAACAACTGTTCACAACTCCAGTCCCAGGGGATCCAACAGCCTCTTCTGACCTCCGTGGGCACTGCACGGCACGGGTGCACTTACCTACATGCAGGCAATACTCTAATATACATAAAAGTAATTAAAAAAGAAAAAACACTGACCAAAACCAACTTGGGGGAGGAAAGGATTATTTGACTTACAGGTTATAGTCCGTCATTGAGGGAGGCCAAGGCAGTAACTGACACAGAGACCATGAGGAAACACTACTTACTGGCTTGATCATCTACCTCATACAGCTCAGGCTTGCCTGCCCAGAGATAGCAGCACTCATGTATGTTGAACCCTCCTACATATTAGCCATCAAGAACATGCCTCACAGAGTTGCCCACAGGCCAGTCTATGAAGAAAATTTCCTCAAAGTTTCCTCTTCCCAGATGACTCTACCAAGTTTACAAAAACTAATCACGACACACACACACACACAAATTCCAGAATCATGCAACCCCCGTTTTTTGCCTCTGCAACCAGTTGAGAGCAACTTGGAAAACCTTTCAGAATTTGGAAGCACATGGGAAAGGGCCAGCTAGGACACACTACTTTGGGGGAGCGAAGAAAAGCCTTGTTTTTGCAGGTATACCTGTATCTGAGCTACCCCAATCCCTCTTAGGAGGGCATCATGCCCACTCCTTCCTCATCCCCTATGCAGGAAAGCCCCCTGGAAGGCACCAGAAAGAAGAGCTATAGGCCGGGGGTATGGCTCAGTTGGTAGAGTGCTTGCTTACTGCGCAGGAAGCCCCTGGGTTCAGTCCCCAGTACCGCATAACTTGGGCGTGGTGGTGCATGCCTATTATCCCAGCACTTGGAAGGTGGAGGCTGGAAGATCAGGAGTTCAAGGTCATCGTCCCCTACGCAGCGAGTTTAAGGCTAGCCTGAATTACATGCGACCCAGTTTTAAAAACAAAAAATCAGCTGTGGCATCCTGGAGGTGGCTGGCAGGCCTGGGTAGTCCTTTCTGGAAGAGGAGCGCTCTCGGATTCCCCACCGTCCTCTTCGGCTTCCGGAATCCTCCCCACCGCTGAAAAACCCCAGAGAGGGCGTGGTGCTTCCAGACAGCGCGTCAACGCCGAGCCTGGCCCTCCGTGCCTTGCGCGCCAGGAGGAGGCGTTCTCGGCTACGTCCCAAGAATAGCCGACCTGCCGGCCTACAAGTCCCAGAGCGCACTGCGCCCCGCAGCCCCTGGTGGGCCCTGGATTGAGCTAGAAGAGGCTTCCTCGCAGTCTGGACCCAGAAGTGTGCCTGGATTGGGAGAAAGGCGCCCGGCAGAGCGTGACCAGACAGAGAAGGGGACACGGCGAAGGAAACCCTAGGGGTGCAGAGAAATTCCCAGGAAGACTGTCAGGAGAGCCCTTCGGGTGGAGACTCAGGGAGACCCAGAGGGGGAGAGCCTCCCCGGGGATTGAGCGTGCCAGGGAGACACCCGCCCCCCTCAATCCCAGAGATGATACAGAGTTCCTCAAAGTTGGAGTGTCACATGTAGACAGGGAGGGGGGCAGAAGGGGTGGAGAGACCCCAGAGATGGAGAGTCACAGGAAGACACAGGGGGGAGAGAGCCTCCGAGACGGCCAGAGAGAGACATAAAGAGGGGAGAGACCCTCACAAATTACGGATCCCAGGATGGGGGAAAGACTCATCAGAGATAGAGTCCTAGCGAGTCAACGAAGGAGGGAGAGACCCCAGAGACGGAGAGACATGAAGGGGGGGAGAGACCCTCACAAATTAAGAATCCCAGAAGACACGGAGGAGGGAGGGAGAGACCCTCAGTCATGGAGAATCCCAGGGAGACACGGTAGGGGGAAGGAACCCCCAGAGATAGAGTCCTAGGGAGTCAGGAAGGGGGGAGAGACCCCCCCCCGAGACAGGGGGATTGACAGGACCAAAAGGAAAAGCCCTAGAGCGAGTCAGAAAGGGACAGAAGAGAGGACCGAGGCTTTCTCAGAAGAGCGCAGGACAGGCAAATATTTAGAGAGAGCACCCTCTAGCGACAGGTGGGAACAGGAGGAGGACAGAGGCAGAGAGTGACCAGCTGGGAGGAACGCTGGACCTCACACAGTTTGAAACCGGCAACAAAGGGATTAGCGGAGTAGAAAAGGACACACCCAGAGGGAGACAGCAGTAAATCCAAAGGCCCAGAGCAGTAAGGAGCCGGCAGCATCTCCAACGGAGGATGAGACACCGGCCTATCAGTCCATCACTAGATGCTCAGCACTGAGCAGAAAGTTTCTTTATTACAAGAATAATAAGACCAGAGATACACAGACCAAGGATCTGAACACGACCCACCCACGCACCTGAGTCGGGAGGGGGTGTTGAGGGGCAGGATGACAGACTGGAGTGTTTGGCGGGGAGGAAGGAGGAGACAAGGCTCAGGGGACGTCCGCTCCTTGCAACCAACCTCCGGAATGGGTGTGTGCACGCGGAGAGGAGGGAGGGGCATCTGTCCTGTGTTCTCGGGGAGGGGAGGGGGGGAGGCCTTTAAGCCTAAACCCCGCCCCTTCGGTCGTCATAGCAACGCCTCCCCCCACCCCCCAGCTCCTACATTTCAGCAGGTGCCGGGAGCCCGAGCTCCCGCCGCCGCCGCCCTTGCCTCCGGCTCCTCGGTGCCCCAGCCTTCTGCTCTGCCCCCACCCGCCCGCTATCCCTTCGGTGGAGCCGGCTTCGGGGTGCCGCTCCCGGCCCCGCTCTGCGCACCTTTAGGTGCCTCGCCCCTGTCCTTCCCACCCCGGAGTCTGCCGAGTCGACCCTCTCCCGTCCACCTGTTTCCTCCGGAAAAAGGCAGGATCGTGGTGGTCCCTGCTGCGTTCCTGGGGCCATGGCGGGACTGGGCCCCGGCGGAGGCGACTCAGAGGGGGGACCCCGACCCCTGTTTTGCAGAAAGGGGGCGCTGAGGCAGAAGGTGGTTCACGAGGTCAAGAGCCACAAGTTCACCGCTCGCTTCTTCAAGCAACCAACCTTCTGCAGTCACTGTACCGACTTTATCTGGTGAGGGATATCCGGGTGTGCTGGAGAGGAGGGGATGGGGTACCGTCATGTCACACTGGCCCCCAAGCGATGATCAGAGAGGGGTGGCTCTAGGATGGTGGGAGTCTGGAAGTCTGGACTCCTGGGTCGGAGGGAGGAGGGGCTGGGGGCGTCTGGACTCCGGGGTCGGAGGGAGGAAAGGCTGGGGCTGGAATTTCTGGGTTCTAGAAGAAGGCACTTGGGACTCAGACACTCGGGTGAGGGTGAGAAGCCACAGACCACCTGTGTCTTGCAAAGGTGGAAGGGCCCAGGTTACCCCTCTTGGCACACTGACTTTAGGTCCTTAACTCCCCTAGGGGTATTGGAAAACAGGGCCTGCAATGTCAAGGTAAGAGCTCAGATCTGGACTCCCGGGACCCCCCGAGGGTGGAGGCTGGGGCCTCACAGCTGCTGACACACGTGTTCTCTGGTCTCCAGAGAGGCGCGGGGGAGCCCTGGGCGGGGGGGTGTGGCAGAGACACAGCCTGTGGTGGGGAGGAAGCTCTGATGGCTGGGCCACCGCGGAGGTGGTGCTGGGGGCCCCTCCCTCGGCCGGCTCCAGGTGGGGACAGATATTTGGAGAATCTGTTTCCATGGGAACAGGGAGATTTGGAAAAGGGGAGCTGAATGGGGGGAAGGGGCTCAGAGATGCAAAGTCAGAGCCCCCCCCCAGACTGCTGTTGCTATGACAACACCATCCATCCAAAAGCAGGGGCAGGCCGGGTGGGGTCACTAATGGGCGAGTGGGGGCCGGGAGAGGGGGACGATTCCTAAAGCACCAGCTGGCACTCAGGCTGAGAACAGAGTGACTCAGGGTGGGGGGCGGGCCGGAGCAGCGCCCCCAGACTCACTTCTGCCCAAGTTGCTGTTCTGTGTTGTGTCTGAGGATATTTCTGTTATTTCTCTTCAAAACCTATGTCACTCTGTCCTTGTTTTATCTCTGTGGGCCTGGGTCTGCTTTCCATGATTCCTTGGGGGGGGAGAGAGAGAGAGAGAGAGAGAGAGAGAGAGAGAGAGAGAGAGAGAGAAGAGAGAGAGGATCGACTGTCACTTTGTGATCTTCTTTCTTAAGTCTATTCCTTGGCCTTCTGTATTTCTCTCTCTCCCTCTCTCTCTCTCTTTCTCTCTCTCTGCTCTATCTCTCTCTTCATCTAGTTCTCTCCTCAGATTTGCTTTCTGTTGGGTTGGACTCTGTGGGGAACCCCTCCCCTCTGAAACGTCTATCTCCGATTTTGGATTTTGTGTCTGTCTGTGTCTCTCCCTTCTCTATCTCCCTTGTCTCCATCTCCTCTGTCTCTCCCTGCGCCCGTGTCTCTGCGACTCTCACCTTCAGTCTGCAGCTTTGTCGTTCATCGCCGATGCCACGAATTCGTGACCTTCGAGTGTCCAGGCGCTGGAAAGGGCCCCCAGACGGACGTGAGTGCCCGGACACCTGGTTCTTCCTCCTCAGGCCGCACCCCACCCTCACCCCCTCGGCGTCCGTCCCAATTTCTCTTGCTATTTTTACGGCTAGGAGGGGAGGGGGGCTGGGGAGATAGGGGGAGCTAGTTTGGCCCAGATTCCTTGCCCTTGGCCTGGAAAAGGGGAATGGGAAGGGGGCCTGGGAGAGGCTGGGGACACAGGTGAGGACAGAGAGGAGGCAGGGGTTGAAGGGACCAAAGATCAGCACTGGAGAGGTGAGGCTACCATCCAGGGAAAAGAAATTTAAGAAAATCGGAACCTGAGGGATGCAGAGAGATATCATTGCAGGGCACTGAATTGTGAAATAAGATTTCAGAAACTGGTCAGAGATGCAGGAAATGTTGGACGCTGTGATACTCGCCTATAATCCCAGCGCTTAGGACGTGGAAGCAGGAGCATCTGGAGTTGAAGGCTAGCCTGAGCTACGGGGGGGGAGAGAGAGAGAGAGAGAGAGAGAGAGAGAGAGAGAGAGAGAGAGGAGACTGATACAGAAGCAGAGAGAGAAATTGAATGGAATGGAGCGACTGGGCATGACGGAGGGAAAGAGAGGTGTCTAGGAAGCACAGAGTGCAGATACCTGGGAGACAGGCTGAAACAGGAAGAGGTGCAGATGAAAGATGCTTAGGAGATGTTTAGGTGACTCAGAGAGATGCTATAGTGCACATGCCCTGCGCAATCCCACATATGCACACACACATATGCACACACTTAGATCCCTAGCTGCCTTGCATCTTTCTTTTCTGCACCAGCAGGGCCTGACAAGCTCAGTCAACTCAGGAGGCCCACCCCTGTCCCCTCCTTCACTTTTTAAAAATCAAGCCTCAGATTCCTCCCCTGAAAAATGGACTGGGACCTAGCAGTGACACAAGTGAGGCAACTGTTTTCCACAGGGACCCCCAGCCACACACTCAGCTAGCGTGAAATAGAACGGCTTCGAGAAACAGAAATCTACATTGCATTTTGCTCAAATCGATTTAAATCTGAACAGCCACAATAAGCTAGTGGCTATCAAATGGGTTAACACAAATCTAGACATCTCCAGGCTTATGTTACCAGTCCAACAAAGTCAGGTTGGTTGTTTCTTCCCAGAGTCTGACATAAGACAACAGATATGCTTTATGGAGAAAAAGAGGAGATAGCATCCAGAGGGCTGAGGCAGGAGGATGGTGAGTTTGAAGCCAGCCTGGGCTACATAGTGAGACTCTGTCTCAATGAAAAGGCATTAGTCTACAGAGGCCCATGAGGCATCTGCCAGCTTGTCAGGTGAAGAAAGCAGAAATTTATGTAGAGGCTGTGACTTTGAAGAGCAGGTGTTGAGTACCACTGTCTACCTGCTTGCCTTTGCCACCAATACCAGCTCTGTTTTATGAGATACTGATTGCTTGGATATTGTCAGGTATCTTGTACACAGTGTAGGACTGAATCTAGACAACTGCTCATATGGTCAGGTTAGGTGGGGTTTTGTTGTTGTTTGTTTTGTTTTGTTTTTCTGTTCCCATGTGATCAGAGACCCTGGACCAGAGTACCTGGGTCTGAATCCTAGTTCCTCTGTGTATAAGGAATTTATCTCTTGCAGTTTTTGTTTTTCTCTTCCTTTTTTATTTTTATTGGTTTTTGTAATGTTTTCATTACATTTTGTGTGTGTGTGTGTGTGTGTGTGTGTGTGTGTCTATGCACATGGGGGGCATGCATGTGCCATGGCACACTTGTGAAGGTCAGAGAACAGCTTGCAGGATTTAGTTCTCTCTTTCCATCATATGCATCTCGGATCAAGCTTAGGCTGTTAGGCTTGGAAGCAAGCAACTTTACCCATAGAACCATCTCACTGGCCTGTTTTGTTTTTAAGATTTTATTTTATATGTATGAGTGTTTTGCCTGCATGTATATCAGTATACCATGTGAGTGCCTGGTGCCCATGGAGGCCAGAAGAGGGAGTCAGATTCCCTGGACCTGAAGTTAAGGATACTTGTTAGCAACCACGTGAGTGCTGAGAACTGAACCCAGGTCCTCTGCAAGAGTAGCCAGTGCTCTTTACCTGTGCTGACCCATCTCTCAAGCCACAGTTTTTGTTCTTTTGAGACAGGGTCTCCCTGTACAGCTCAAGCTGGGCTCCAACTCCCTATCTTCCTGATAACTCAGCCTCCCAAATGCAGAGATGACATGTGTGTACCACCACACTGGTTTAATTATCCACTGTATCTCTTCAGTTCTTCAGTATAAAAAGGGGGTGAGGCTCATGACCAATTATGGAGTTATTTCAAAGTGAGTCAAGCACCTGGGATGGTATCTGAGACACAGTAAGAACCAAAATATTGGGCCAGCAAGATGGCTCAGCAGGGTAAAGGCACTTGCCCCCAAGCCAGGTGACCTAAATTCGATCCCCAGGACCCACATGGTGGAGTGAGAGAATGGACTCTCACAAGCTGTCCTCTGACCTCCATATGCAAGTGCATGCACACACATACACACACACAATAAATGCAATTTGAATGTTTACTTTTTAAAATTGTATTTTTGTGAATTTCATACAATATATTTTGATCATATTTAGGTCCCCCCCATCTGTACCCCCTTATTTTTCCGTGTCCCATTTCATGTGCTCTATTATATACAAATGTATTAAGCCTTGCAGAGTCAAATTTGTGCCTCCAAATGCCCTTCATTGTGGGTCCATCCATGGAGTCTGGTCAATCTACCAAGAGACCCTTAAACAAGACTGCCTCTATCCCTCCCAGCAGCCATTGGTTGCCAATCGTTTCTCAGGTAGTGTTGGGGTTTCTTACCTGTGTCTGTGCTGGGGTTTTGTCTGACTTGAGCATCTGTGGGGTTTGTGCATGCTGTCACCATTGTTGTGAGTTCATGTGAGTAACTTCCCAGCTGTCTGGAAAACTGTTTCCTGGTGGTTGTTCACCTCCTCTGGCTCTTCCAGGCCTTCTGCCCCTTTCTTCCACGATGCATTTAAAGTTTGTAAAATAACTGAAATATTACTTCTTGTGACCATGGCTAAAAGTATTATGAGGAGGGAGGAAGCAGCAAAAGGGGGGACGCTTTCCTTTTCTCTCTTTTTTGTTCTGTATTAACACTTTTGATCTTGTAAGTATTATGCACAGGACTTAAGAGGTGGTAAGGACCTGGGGCATGAGTCTGCTTAGTTCTCAGGAGACCCCTTTAGGTCCCCTTTCACAGAGCAGAAACCTGAGGCCCACAAAGAGGTGACTGTGAGGAGGCCCAGGCTAGGTCAGATTTGGGCCTGGAGCCAGGAGTGGTGGCACATACCTATAATCTCAGCACTCCAGGGAAGGAGGAAGGAGAGTTTCAAGTCTGAGGCCAGCTTGGGCCTCACTGTCTCAAAATGAGACTGTCTCAGAACAAAAACAAAAACAATTTGGGCCTGGCTCTCTCTTTTTTAAAGACAGGGTCTTAATATGTAGCCCAGGCTGGCCTCAGACTCAGGACCCTCTTGCCCCTGGGTGCTGGGATTGTGATTAGATGCGTGTGCCACCATGGCCAGTTGCCTTTCTTTTTTAACTTGTGCCGGGAATTGAACACAGGACATACTAGGCAAGCATTCTACCACTGAACCAGCCTTTCTCCTTTAAAAAAAAAAATTAACTTTATTTATCATGATGTGTGTGAGTGCAGTAGTACACATGCTATGCACACAAATGGAGATCAGAGCGCAACTTTCCAGACTTTGTTCTCTCTACCATGGGTTCCATGGGTTGAACTTGGGTCATCAGGCCTAAGCAGCAGCAAGCATCCTTACTGACTGAGCCATCTTGCTGGCCATTTTTATACTTGTTTATATATATATAATTTTTTATTATTTTATGTGTATGAGTGTATTGCCTGCATGTATGTAAGTGCACCGGTGTCATGCAATGCCCATGATGTCAGAAGAGAGCATCAGATTTCCCTAGAACTGGAGTTACAGATGGTTGTTAGCCATCACGTGGGTGCTGGGAATTGAACCTGGGTCCTCTGTAAGAGCAGCCAGTGCTCTTAACCGCTGGGCCGTCTCTCCAGCCCATTCTTGTTGTTTTGGGACAAGTTTTACACTATAGCCCAGGCTGGACTCTCAGCCTTCGAAGTACTGAGATTACAGGTCTATATGATCATGTTGGACCACTCTTGTTTATTTGTTTGTTCGTTTATTTATTTACAGACAGAGTCTCACACTAGTCCAGGCTGGACTTCAATTTTCTGGCAATCCTCTCCTCTCAGTCTTCTGAGTACTGGATTACAGTCAGACCCACAGCTCCTTTCCATAGATTGCTTGAGTGTCAGGCTCCCCGCTGATGGTCAGGGGACGACCTCTCTTCCAGGAGAAAGTTGTCTCCCACCCCTCACCCCCTCAGCTGGGGACTGAACCCAGGGCCTAGTACCTACTGGGCAAGCACAGTATACCTGGGTGATAAACTCAGAACACTGAGTGAGGTCATGGTTAGCATTGTATTCCCCCCATATATATACACTTAAAATAGAAACCTCACTAAACTCACTAAACTAAAGCCCTAGAATATTGTAAATTTCCTCCCTTTATGATAACTTTCTCAATGCTTTCCTGGGAAAAGGCAAATGTGATGGGCCGGAGCGATGGCTCAGCATTAAAGAGTCCTTGCTGCCCTTGCAGAGGACTCCTATCGGACAGCTCACCACCACCTGAAACAGTTCTAGGTGCTTCCTCCAGTACCAGGCACGCACATGATGCACATACATACATGCAGACACTCACAGATATACACAAAATAAATATTAAAAGAAAAATATGAGGCGAGGGAGTAGCTCAATTGGTAGACTGTTTGCCTGGCATGCAGAGGCCCTGGGTTCCATCCCAGCACCGCATAACACTGGCCATGGTGGGGCACGCCTGTACCCCAGCACTTGAGTGGTAGACGCAGGAGGATCAGGAGTCCAAAGTCACCTTCAGCTATACAGGAGTTTGAGGCTAGGATGTAAAATGAAAGAAAAGAAGGGAGGAAAAGAGGAAGGGAAAAAGGAAAGGAAGGAGGGGGGGAAGGGAAGGAGAGAAGGGAGGGAAAGAGACAAATAT